ATAATTGGTTTTCTAGCAGAAATGTTGGTTTTTCTCTTTCAAACTTTCCCGAGGAACAGCATAAACAAAGTCAAATTGATGTAATTTAAGAAACCACAACCAAAATAATTTAATCTTTCTTCAGAAATCCAAAACAATTAACACAGTGAGGATACACTCATATTGATGATGTGCTCAGAAGTTCCCCAGAATTCACAAATAATTACTTCCAAGTATGTGTATATTGCTGTTGTGTGCCTTCAAGTTGTTTGCAACTTATGGAAACCCTAATGGTAGCATATCACAGGGTTTTCTGAGCAATATATGTCAGAACTGGTTTACTTTTGCTTTCCTCTGCGGCTGAGGACCCTTCCACACAGCCCTATATCCCAGAATATCAAGGCAGAAAATCCCACTATGTCCGCTTTGAACTGGGTTATCTGAGTCCACACTCATATAATGTGGGATTTTCTGCCTTGATATTCTGAGATATAGGGCTATGTGAAAGGGCCCTAGTTCAAAGTAGATATTGTGGGATATTCCGCCTTGATATTCTGGGATATAGGGCTGTGTGAAAGGGCCCTGAAATAATGATTTGCCCAAAATTATACAGTGGGTTTTCATGGGATTCACACCCTGGTCATAATAGTTGTAGGTTAAGGCCCTTTCCACATAGCCCTATATCCCAGGATCTCATCCCAGATTATCTTCTTGTCCCAGATTATCTGGCAGTGGAGACCTATATAATTCAGTTTAAAATAGATAATCTGGAATCATGTCATGGGATATAGGGCTATGTGGAAGGGGCCTAACACTCAAGCTAAACATGCTGACTCACTCATACACACAGAGACATATAATTACATTCTTACAGAACAGACCTATATATCAGGGTTTCAGAAGTATGGTCCTCAAAATTTCCTGACTCCCTCAGATCATGCTTTTTCTAGTAAAAAAATGCAGTGTCTCTTTTTCAAGCCCACTGGGAATAACATTTTTAAAAGGAAAGCCGGAAAAAGAGCTGGGTGGGTCCCTTGCTCTGTTCAATGTTTCAAAAACAATTTTTCAACACCAATAGACTTCTAGCCATTGCTATTTTTATTTATTTATTTATTTATTTATTTATTATTCAAGCTTATATGCCGCCACTCCCCTGGGGCTCGGAGCAGCTTACAAGAACAGGCTAAAATCTAACACAATTTAAAACAATTTAAAAACAACAATATCAAAAATCAAAGGCCTGTCGAAACAGATATGTCTTACATGCCCTGCGGAAAGCTGATAGGTCCCGCAAGGCACGGACTTCAGGTGGCAGAGTATTCCAGGGTGATGGTGCCACTGCTATAAAGGCTCTGCGTCTGGTTGCTGTTAGACGCAAGGTCTTGACACTGGGAATTTCCAATAAATCTTGGTCCTCAGAATGGAGGGATCTCTGGGGTTGGTAGGGGGTGAGCCGGTCCCTCAGGTACATCGGCCCCAGACCATGCAAGGCCTTAAAGGTGAGTACCATCACTTTCAAAGTGATCTGGTGCTCAATTGGTAACCAATGCAGCTGTAGTAAGATTGGTGTTATGTGGCATCTCATCGGAGTTCCCGCAAGAAGCCGAGCAGCTGCATTTTGTACCAACTTGAGCTTCCGGATCACTGACAAAGGAAGGCCAATATAGAGGGTGTTACAGTAGTCCAGTCTTGAGATGACCGTAGCCTGGATCACCGTAGCTACGTTGTCCCTGGACAGGAAGGGGGCCAGCCGTCTAGCCTGCTGCAGATGAAAAAAGGCGGTTCTGCTAACGGCGGAAACCTGGGCCTCCATTGTCAGCAGAGGGTCCAATGATGACAGGTGTAGCGCCTCACCATCCAGGGTAGGCAGCTGGATATCCCCACTGCCCGGTTGACCCAGCCATAGGATCTCTGTCTTTGCTGGATTCACTCACAACCTGCTGGCATGCAGCCATCCAGTAACGGCCTTGAGGCACTGATGAAAATAATCGGGTCTGCCCTCCATCCTCAGCACCAGCTGAGTGTCATCAGCGTACTGGTAACACTCAAGCCCAAAACCTCGAACCAGCTGAGCAAGTGGTCGCATATAAATGTTAAACAACAGAGGGGAGAGAATGGCCCCCTGAGGAACCCCACAAGATAGAGGGGACCTCTCAGAGACCAGGCCTCCCCTCTCTACTCACTGTCCACGGTTGTGAAGAAAGAAGGACAACCAATTTAAAGCTGTCCCCCTGACTCCAACAGCAGCAAGGCGGTGGGTCAAAAGATTGTGGTTGACTGTGTCAAATGCTGCTGTGAGATCCAATAACACAAACAGCACCGACCTGCCCTGGTCAAGCTGGCATCGAAGGCGATCCGTGATGGAGACCAGCACAGTATCCGTCCAAAGGAAGAACCGGGGGTGGAATGAGAGCCGCCCCGGCCAGGCTGGCCCTTGGAGTTGGGAAGCCGTGGGACCCGTTCAGGAAGCAGCAGCGTCCATTGTGGGGGCCGTGGGGGGAGCGCATTGCACTCCAACGAACCCCATGAAGGAGTCAGAGCAGAAAACTAACCCTGGGCCTATCAAAGCTAGTTTTTGATAAATGCCCACAGAGTTGTACAAGAATAATTTTATGTTTGGGGGTCATCACGACATGAGGAACTGTATTAAGAGGCATTAGGAAGGTGACACCACTCTGATGGCCGAAAGCGAGGAGGAGCTGAGGAGCCTTCTAATCAAGGTGAAAGAAGAAAGCGCAAAAGCTGGGTTGCAACTAAACATCAAAAAAACCAAGATTATGGCAACAAGAATGATTGACAACTGGAAAATAGAGGGAGAAAATGTGGAGGCCGTGACAGACTTTGTATTTCTAGGTGCAAAGATTACTGCAGATGCAGACTGTAGCCAGGAAATCAGCAGACGCTTACTTCTTGGGAGGAGAGCAATGTCCAATCTCGATAAAATAGTAAAGAGTAGAGACATCAGACTGGCAACAAAGATCCGCCTAGTCAAAGCCATGGTATTCCCTGTAGTAACCTACGGATGTGAGAGCTAGACCTTAGGGAAGGCTGAGCGAAGGAAGATCGATGCTTTTGAGCTGTGGTGTTGGAGGAAAGTTCTGAGAGTGCCTTGGACTGCGAGAAGATCCAACCAGTCCATCCTCCAGGAAATAAAGCCCGACTGCTCACTGGAGGGAAAGATACTAGAGACAAAGTTGAAGTACTTTGGCCACATCATGAGGAGACAGGAAAGCCTAGAGAAGACAATGATGCTGGGGAAAGTGGAAGGCAAAAGGAAGAGGGGCCGACCAAGGGCAAGATGGATGGATGGCATCCTTGAACTGACTGGACTGACCTTGAAGGAGCTGGGGGTGGTGACAGGCCGACAGGGAGCTCTGGCGTGGGCTGGTCCATGAGGTCACGAAGAGTCGGAGACGACTGAACGAATGAACAACAACAGTTTGGCAGAAGCTAGGGCTGACAGCGGAAGCTCATGCCGCTCCCCGGAATCGAACCTGCGACCTTTCAATCAACAAGCTCAGCAGCTCAGTGCTTTAACCCACTGCGCCACAGGGGGCTCCTAGAGATATGATAGCCATGTATAAATATGTGAGAGGAAGCCACAGGGAGGAGGGAGCAAGCTTGTTTTCTGCTTCCCTGGAGACTAGGACGCGGAACAATGGCTTCAAACTACAAGAAAGATTCCATCTGAACATGAGAAGAACTTCCTGACTGTGAGAGCCGTTCAGCAGTGGAACTCTCTGCTCTGGAGTGTGGTGGAGGCTCCTTCTTTGGAAGCTTTTAAACCAGTGGTTCTCAACCTTCCAAATGCCGTGCCCCCTTAATACAGTTCCTTATGTTGTGGTGACCCCCAACCATTACATTATTTTCATTGCTATTTCAGAACTGTAATTTTTCTCCTGTTACGAATCACCTTGTAAATATCCGATATGCAGGATGTATTTTCATTCATTCGACACAAATACTCGATACACCCAAATTTGAATACTGGTGGGGTTGAGGGAAGGATTGATTTTGTAATTTGGGAGTTATGGTTGCTGGGATTTATAGTTCACCTACAATATCAAAGAGCATTCTGAACTCCACCAACAATAGAATTGGACCAAACTTGGCACACAGAACTTCCATGACCAGCAGAAAATACTAGAAGGGTTTGGTGGGCATTGATCTTGGGTTTTGGAGTTATAGTTCAGCTCCATCCAGACAGCACTGTGCACTCAAAACAATGATGCATCTGGACCAAACTCGGCACAAATATTCAATATGCCCAAATGCTGACATGTGGTTTGGGGAAGATAGCCCTTGATATTTGGGAGTTGTAGTTGCTGGGATTTATAGTTCACCTACAACCAAGAGCATTCGGAATCATGACCAACAGAAAAGACTGTTTTCTTTGGCGACCCCTCTGACACCCCCTCGTGACCCCCCCCCAGGGGTCCCGACCCCCAGGTTGAGAAACACTGTTTTAAGCAGAGGTTGGATGGCCATCTGTCGGGGGTGATTTGAATGCAATTTTCCTGCTTCTTGGCAGGGGGTTGGACTGGATGGCCTCTTCCAACTCTTTGATTCTATGATTCTATATAGGATCTGGCTGGAAGGGCCTTGCAGCCGGAGGACTGTCTGGGGCCTGGCCAGCTCCCTCACGCGAGAACCAAGAGGCAGAGGGAAAGGCGTGCTCTTCCTCCGCTTTAGAGGTGACACCAAGGAGCCCGGCGGCTGCCCTTCTTCTTCCGGTGACCCTCAACGAACGCGTGACTGAGGCGTTCTCACGAGTAATTGACCACTCACAAGGGCGACCCCGCCCTCGCGAGAAAAAAAAAAACACACCACCAGGCTGGGGAGGCTCCGCGAGGCGACATCCCTCCCCGCAAGGCATGACGGGACTTGGAGGCTGCCTTGAAAAAAGCCACCGCGCGCGAGGCGCCCCTTCCCGCTTCTCCCCTCAGGGGGAGGGCCCTTCCCCCGCTCCGCCGCCCACCCTTATCCGCCTCACCCTCCGCGGCGGTCCCCCCAGGCCTCACCTGAGCCGCGGTGCTCCCCGCGCGCTGACAGGCCCGCAGCATGGTCTCTCCTCGGCTGAAGGAAGGAAGGAGAGCAAGAGGAGCTCGACCCTCAGCTCGTCATAGGCCGCCGCCGCCTTCTCCCCCCCCCCCTCCCCTCAGCGCGCAACCGCTGCCCCGTCCCCGAGAGGCGGGGCTTGTGTCCACCAATCAGGAAAGGAAGAAGGCGCGTATGCAAATAATCGGCTGTGCCTACGACAGTAAATCGAGGCTGCCAATCCGCACAAGGAAACCTAGAGCGAGGAAATGGGAAAGAGTCACCTATCTTCGCCCTCTTCCGTTTTTGGCTGCATATTGACCCTCGCCGGCTGCCGTAGCGAAAAGAAAAGGTGGGCGGGAAGAACTGAGAAAGGAAGATGGCGGCCGCCGGAGTGTTGCGGAGGTTCTCAGGTCAGAGACCGACGGCTCAAAATACCTCATTATCTGCTTTGAACTGTGTGGACTCAGATAACCCGATTCAAAACAGATATTGTGGGATTTTATGCCTTGATGTTCTGAATTATATGGCTGTGGGTTGGCTCTGCATCTTGTGGTGCCAGAGCGCAGTCTGTTCAGCGCCTTCCAAGTCGCTCAGTCTTCTATGTGCCCATAAGGGAGTCTCTCATTTGGTATCAGCCATTGGTTGAGGTTCTGGGTTTGAGCCTGCCACTTTTGGACTTTCGCTTGCTGAGGTGTTCCAGCGAGTGTCTCTGTAGATCTTAGAAAACTATTTCTAGATTTAAGTCGTTGCCGTGCTGGCTGATACCCAAACGGGATGAGCTAGAGATGTCTCTGCCTTGGTCCTTTCACTATTGGCTGCTACTTTCCGGTGGATGTCAGGTGGTGCAATACCGGCTAAGCAGTGTAATTTCTCCAGTGGTGTAGGGCTCAGATAACCCAGTTCAAAGCAGATAATGTGGGATTTTCTGCCTTGATATTCTGGGATATAAGGCTGTGTGGAAGGGTCCTGGATTCAAATGTAAGGGCCAGGAACCTTCCAAACAGCCATATAAGCCAGAATATCAAAGCAGAAAATCCCCTATATCCCAGGATGTGATCCCAGTTTTTCTGTTTATACCGGATTATTTATCAGTGCGGACATATATAATCCAGTTTAAGGCAGAAAACCTGGTATCAGATCCTGGGATATAGGGCCTGTCTGGAAGGGCCTAGATTATAAGGGCCTTTCTACACTACCATATAATCCAGAATTTCAAGGTAGATAATCTACATTATGTGCTTTGAATTGGATTATCTGAATCTATACTGCCATATAATCCAGTTCAAAGCAGGTAATCTGGATTTTATACAGCTTTGTAGATGCGGCCTAAGGCTACACAGGATAGTGATTGCTTATATTGATCTACTGAATGAAGAAGGTAATTGAGGAGCAAGTCCCAGGATAATTGCTAGTTCCAGTAAAACCAAAATTGTAATACATTCTGACACTCTAATCCAGGGGTCCTCAAACTAAGGCCCGGGGACCGGATGCGGCCCTCCAAGGTCATTTACCCAGCCCTCGCTCAGGGTCAACCTAAATATGAAATGACTTGAAAGCACACAACAACAATCCTATCTCATCAGCTAAAGGCAGGCACACACTTACCATTGAAATACTAATAAGTTTATATTTGCTAAAATTGTTCTTCATTATAATTCTTGTATTGTTTTTAAGTGTATTCATTCGTGGGTTTTTTTTCAAATTATAATCCGGCCCTCCAATAGTTTTGAGGGACTCTGACCTGGCCCTCTGTTTAAAAAGTTTGAGGACCCCTGCTCTAATCAAACAAATCCAATGTTTCGTAACAGTTAAAACTCTTGAGCAAGGCCACGCAAGGAGAAGCTGTATCTGCCTTTGGTGCCTTTGTTGTATCTTACTGTGTTTTCTTTTCCTTAGGTATTTTACGATCCTTCTGTTCTTTAGCCCCTTCTGCCTATCATGGTACTTGCAGTATGAGCTCAATTTCCCGACTGTCTTTATTTCATGGGCAGGGGTCAACAGTCTCTTTCACAAGACCTCTTCTGTCTTTTGGCAGTACTTCCTTTGGGCATCCAGTCTCCATAGTAAATAGGTAAGCATACCTATTAAATGTTTGACATTTTTCTGATGTGCAAAATGGTTTGGATCCAGGTTGTGCCTTCTGGAGATGAAATGACTGCACTCTAGTTCCTAACCTATCACAGAAGGAGTGGTTTCCTGTGTGTAGGAAACTTTGTTTACATAATTCCATATACAAAGTTAGGAATTGGGGTTAATGGAAAAATCAACATTGAATATAAGTGAAAATTAGGGCATCTATGGCAAGCATCCTCAAGAACTGCATGTAGGATTGATTTTATCAAAGGGGTCTAAATAATTAATCTAAGCCAGTAGAACTCTGATTTACCACCAAGACTTCTCCACATGATTTAAAAAGTAGTGTAGTTATGCTCAGTTGAAATTTTTATAATGTAATGAAGAGTTTTATGCAGTTTAGGTAATTTATTTCAATTACCTAAAATTAAAATTTACATGTTACATTTCTATTTGGCAGTTTTAGTGACCTCTTGTGTTACTGGTTATAGTTGCTGCCTTTATAAAAAAAATTCCTTTTTTGAATGTTACTAACAGCACATTCTTACATTGTAGAACTAGTTCTCTAATTTCTTGTCTTTTTGCTTTGTCATAACTTTCAGTGTAACACCTCTGCTTCCAAGTATATTTCATCAGCAAACAAGGACTGTCATCCAATTTAGCTTGCGGAAAGGAAAACGGAAAACAGTAAAAGCTGTTGTTCATAGATTTCTCCGATTGCATAGTGGCCTTTGGCTAAGGAGAAAGGTAAGAACAGTTTTTTAAACTAAATACTGGATTGTATGAACTGTCTAATATGTGGTTGGGAGAGTGTCAAACTTGGAACAATTACAAAATGACAGACATTGAGGGAAAAGATAGCTTTTTATATGGTTGCTTACCTATTATTATGCTTATTATACCCCGCTTTTTCTCTTTATAAGGATACTCAAAGCAGCTTACATTAAAAGCATTACAATACAGTTTTAAATCTAAAAATATACAAACATTAAAACAGAATTAAATATCATTGGTGTTAAAAATTCAGTTTAAATCTATCAAAACCTAATTAAAACTAAAAACCACACAGCAGTCCCTGACTTGAATAAAAAGGTTTTAGTCTGCCACCAGAAGGACAGCAGGGAGGGGGGCCTACTTATTAAATGGTTAGCTATATATGCTTTAATACTGAAATTAATTTGTTTTTTGGCAGGCTGGTTACAAGAAAAGATTGTGGAAAAAAAGTGCTAAGCGAATAAAGCGCTTGAGGGAACATGTGTTCTGCAACAAAACACAGTCTAAGCTCCTTGACAAAATGACCACGTCCTTCTGGAGGAGAAGAAACTGGTATGCCAATGATCCCTATCAGAAATACCACGACCGTACAAATATTCCCTGGTGAATTGCCGAATTCACATCTACTATAGCAACCCAGACAGTCTGTATGCCAGTTACGAAATTAATGGTTCATATTGATAATATTTCCATACATGTATAATAAACAAATGCAAAGGTCTTATTAAACTATGCTGAAAAATAAAAAAATAAACATTTGATTACTTTAAAGATTTTGGCACTGATTAATCCATTTGATGAACAAGCCTTGATGGCTGTAGAAATTGTATGAAAAATATTTGGTCACAGCCTTATGACCGGATATATATACAGTATTGCTCAGAACAGTGAATTACTTTCTGTATTTTCTGCTACTGAAAAGAATTGCATGCATCAAGTATGTGGATGGCCTTATCAAAGACAGTGGACGAAGCCTTCAAAGAGTCATAGCTTATTTGTACTCTTAATTCTTACTGTGAATATATCTTTGACGTAGCAAGATGCATACTGTGAGTTCAATCATAGATATTCTAAAACATTTCATTTTGAGTTGTTGTAGGCTTTTTCGGGCTATACGGCCATGTTCTAGAGGCATTCTCTCCTGACGTTTTGCCTGCATCTCTGGCAAGCATCCTCAGAGGTAGTGAGGTCTTTTGGAACTAGGAAAATGGGTTTATATATCTGTGGAATGACCAGGGTGGGACAAAGACCTCTTGTCTGTTAGAGCTAGGGATGAATGTTTCAACTGACCACCATGATTAGCATTTGATGGCCTGGCAGTGCCTGGGGCAATCATTTTGATAGTTGTTTCATTTCCAGACTTCTGCTTACTTTATGTTTGGTATTTGCTTTTAGTTGATATACGAGAAATAGTTGCCATTCAACACCGATTTTAGGTGCTTTGATAATCATATCAGCACAAGTTCTTCTTATAAAAGAAGCTCTCATAACTACATGTGTCATATAGGAACAAGCCATTGCTATTTAGTATAGCATTCTGATCATAGAGTGATGGCTGTGGCACATCCACAAACTAAACAAGTGTAACAACAGCCTTCCACTTGTGTTCTCCATAACATTGTATACAGAGGCATCACCTCTCATACTGGAGGTAATGATAGCCATATTTAAATATTTGAAAGGATGTCACATTGAGGAGGGAGAAAGCATGTTTTCTGCTGTTCCGAAGACTATGGATTCAAATTGCAGGAAGAAAAAAGTTTCCACCTAAACATTTGGAATGACTTCTGAGGCAAGATCTGTTTGACAGAGGAATATGCTGCTTAGGGCGTGGTGGAGAGTCCTTCCCAGGAGGCTTTGAAACAAAAAGCTGGATGGCCATTTGTTTGAGATGCTTTGATTGTGCCTTTCCTGATAGGCAAGAGGTTGAACTGGATGGCTCTTGTGGTCTATGATTTTATTATTCAAATAGATAGTCAACATGACCAATAACGATTGGTAATTTTCACCTCTGTGAGTTTTAATCCCCTTTTGCTATTTACTCTTACATTACCTCAGTCTTCCATTATTCAGTTCTCATGTTGTGCTGTTAAGAGGAAGAAAAATATCTACTTCAACATCATACTATTGTTTTAGATTTTAATCATAATTTCTTTTTTTCTAAGTGAAGCATCACCAATTTTTTAATGTTTCCTCATGGGAAATTAATCTAATGTACTTTGGATTAATTTAGTTGTTGATTTCTTTCATTTCCCTTTTCATCAAGATGGTTATCTATATAAATAAAAATGTAATGTTCGTTTGTGGGATTAACATAACTCAAAAACCACTGGATGAATTGACACCAAATTTGGATGCAACACACCTATCAGGCCAATAAGTGACCATCACTCATAAAAACACTGAAAAACACAACAGAAGAGACTTAAAAAGCCAAAAAAAAAAAATACATTATAATACAATTGCAAAACCACACATATACACACACATATGTACACACACATATATACACACACAAAAAAAACATATACACAGACTGGGCCACAGCAACGTGTGGCAGGGGATGGCTAGTTTACTTATATATTTAATCTTAATATGAAGTGTTCAGGATCACATACATGATTCATGTCCAATGCACCCACACTGAAGTAGATGAGTAGGATTCCAAGCATCGGGATTGTGGCGCAGCTGGCTGAGTGTCAGGTGCATTAAGATCACTCTGACCAAAGGTCATGAGTTCGAAGCCAGCCCAGGTTGGAGTGGGTTTCCGACCATTGCGTAGCCTGTTGTCGACCTTTGCAACCCGAAAGACAGTTGCATCTGTCAAGTAGGAAAATTAGGTACCACCTTAAAGTGTGGGGAGGCTAAATTAACTAATTTATGAGGCCAGCAAAAGCATGCGGGGAATGTGGAAGTACTTCATCAGTGTCGCAGATGGACGATGAAAGCGACAGCTTCCTTGGCTGCCAGAAAATCTTAAATAGCCTCTGTCTATGTCTGTATATGTTGTATGTCAAATTGGCATTGAATGTTTGCCATATATGTGTACACTGTAATCTGCCCTGAGTCCCCTGTGTGGTGAGAAGGGTGGAATATTAAAGCTGTAAATAAATAATAATAATACATTGCCTACTGAGCTTTATGGTTGACGGAGCAATTTGAAGCATTCCAGCTCTGTCAATCCAGCCACTAAAAGCAAAGATTCAATGTATTCAAAGAGGACTATTGAGAGTCCATCAGGAATAAATAACTTTTTTTAAAAGACTAGTATTAAAAGAAATTAGGATCATTTGACTTATAAAGAACACAATGGTCACCCTTGTTTTTTTAAAGAAAAGTTTAAGACTTTATTGTCATGATGTATTTCAAGCAATATAACAAAACATCGACCTTTGGAATACTGTTGTCTTCTTGAGCCTTGCAACGCATTCTCAAGTGTTCTAGTCTAACATCTCTGCTATAAATCACTGGAAAGGAACCATTTTTAAGTGCACAGATACCGACCTCAGACATTGGCCATTTGTGTAACTTTGCAAAATACAGTGTTATCAACAATTTCAAAGAGTGTGCTCGGTGCAAAACATACTGACAAAAAAAAAACCAAGCGAGACTAATTAACAAGCATTTAGGCACAAGTACAATTATCAACTACCGAACACATTTATCTTGCAGAGCACAGCTTGAAGGTAGCAGGCTGTTTGCAACTGGCCAGAGAGAATCCCAGTGTTCCATGTGGCATTTCTTCCTGTCTTAATTTTGAAGATACCATGATTATTTATTTTATATCATAATTTCTTCTTAGACATTTAATAAAAAAATTTAACTCCATTTTAATAGGGTTTTCTTCTTTTAATATTAAGTAATCCTTATTATCTAGCAAGCATTCTTAATACCAGCTCAAACCATTTGTCCTTGTAGCCCAGTGTTTTCAACTCTGGCTTTAATTCTGCAGAATATCTAACAGAGGATTTTCCAATGTTGTTTTGGCTGATCCTTATAATCGTACATCACAAGGATTTCATAGTCTGTGTCCAACTAACAGTGGCCCCTTCACCTAAACCAGGGGTCCTCAAACTAAGGCCCGAGAGCCAGATATGGCTCTCCAAGGTAATTTACCCGGCCCTCGCTCAGGGTCAACTTAAATCTGAAACTACTTGAAAGCACACAACAAGAATAACAATCCGATCTCATCAGCCAAAAGCAGGCCCACACTTCCCATTGAAATACTAATAAGTTTATATTTGTTAAAATTGTTCTTCATTTTAATTAATGTATTGTTTTAAAGTGTTTTTTGCACTACAAATAAGATATGTGCTGTGTGCGTAGGAATTCATTCATGCTTTTTTCAAATTATAATCCGGCCCTCCTACAGTTTGAGGGACTGTGACCTGGCTCTCCATTTAAAAAGTTTGAAGACCCGTGACCTAAACTATGGAGCCCCCGGTGGATTCGCAGGTTCGAATCCAGGGAAAGCGTGGATGAGCTCCCTCTGTCAGCTCCAGCTCCTCATGCGGGGACATGAGAGAAGCCTCCCACAAGGATGGTAAAATCATCAGAACATCCAGGCGTCTCCTGGGCAACTTAAAGTTTCTCAAGTCGCTCCTGACATGACCAAAAACAAAAACAAAACAAAAAAACCCCTAAACTATGGAAGTGAAATCAGTTTTGCTATGTGAGTGAAGGCTATGAAGTCAATTCACTTCTAAAATAATAGAAGATCTGCATTGATGGTTAGAAGTGTTATAATTCTGTGGTAGTAAACATTTCAAAACTCATGTTTCAGTTTATTGTGCTAGAGTTTTAGTTGCAGGGCAAGTGTGGTGCACTAGAGCAGGGCTTCTAAAACTTTTCAATTTGCGACCCTTTTTGGCTCGAGGCATTTTTATGTGACCCTGGCTATATACAGAGGCGACCCTAGGTAATTTTCAACAGTAAGCAAACAGTATTTTGGCGCCCCCTTCCCCAACCAATCATTGATATATATTTTCTGTTCGTCATGGGAGTTCGGTGTGCCATATTTGGTTCAATTCCATCATTGGTGGAGTTCAGAATGCTCTTTGATTATAAGTGAACTATATATCCCAGTAACTACAACTCGCATATGTCAAGGTCTATTTTCCCACAAGAGTGCCTCAAGAGCGCTCCTGGGCAAAAAAAAAAACTATACTGCACATGCTTAGTTTGCATAATGGGTTGAGCCGCCCCTGGCTATATAGGTATATAAAGTAGCTATGAAAACCAAACATTTACTGATTTACAGATCAGCATTTGCAAGGCTTGCTAAACAGGTTGATAGGTTTACAGTAGACAGCTGAAGCATCTTCTGCAGTCCACTGTAAACACTGCACAACAGATTTCTGTAAACGGTCACAAGATTATGTCCACAAAAAAATTTGGGACCCCAACATTGAGCAAATGGGATTGGAACCCACAGTTTAAGAAGCAGTGCACTAAAGAACGCCAGACCTATATTCTTTGAGGTACAAGCTGCTGTTTCCCCATCTGCAATGCAACAAGCATCACAAGTGTTGAGTAGTGTGGAAGTTGGCTTTCCTTGGATGCACATCTGACTCCCAACTGTTGGTCCAAGGTGAGAAGTTTACGGAATTGAAGCAAAACAGCAGGGAATATCAGTCTCAAACAATATATGTAGTGCTTACAAACTTGTCCACTAAAAATAAGTCACTAGATCAGGGGTCCTCAAACTACGGCCGAGGGGCCGAACACGGCCCTCCACGGTCATTTACGCGGCCCTTGCTCAGGGTCAACCTAAGTCTGAAATGAGTTGAAAGCACACAACAACAACAACAATCCTATCTCATCAGCGAAAAGCAGGCCCACACTTCCCAATGAAATACTAATAAGTTTATATTTGTTAAAATTGTTCTTCATTTTAATTATTGTATTGTTCTAAAGTGTTTTTTGCACTACAAATAAGATACGTGCACTGTGCATAGGAATTCATTCATTTTTTCCCAATTATAATCCGGCCCTCCAACAGTTTGAGGGACTATGACCTGGCCCTCTGTTTAGAAAGTTTGTGGACCCCTGCACTAGATGATAAGGGAATCTTCTCCTGAAAGAAGCTCCAGTCATTTTGCAGCAAATATGTGCCATAGGCATTCCAATTGGTCAATGCTGATGTGGTTTATTGGAAAAATATGAAAACTAGTGGCAATTGCCATAGCCAGCTTTCCTTAAACAACCTGCTTCCTTTATAATATAAATTAAAAATGCATTAAAGTTAACTATATGCCTATTTTGCGTTTATGCTTTTTGATAAACTATACACACATCTACAGTTTGGCTGATAAATTTGCACATTTGCCGGAAACAATTCTTTTTTTTTCTTTAACAGTGAATTGATTTGAAAGATAAGGCAGTTCAATAGTTTCACTTTAGCACTTAACAAAAAGAAGTCCAGAACAGTCATATTTTGAATAAAACAGCACGTCAAATGGACATTGCTTAACTTTAACTCAAATGAGTACTAACGTAGCAGTATGTGGATAAATTTACAAATGTATCTTTTTGGCATAGCTGAATACATTTTTTCAGCTTTTAATTTTATTTCATCACATATAATAGCATGGTGGCAAACCACTGATTTGCTTGCAAGATAACGTAATTTCTGCTAATGTGGAAATTTTGAATAGTATGCTGAAGAGTAAGGTATATAGAACATATATGGGCTACATGTTTATTTAATAAATAATTCAATTATTTTAAAGGACATCTGATCTGAATAAATCTTTTCTAGCTGCCATCCAAATTCTTCGGATATTGATTGAAATGGCAGTAGATCTTAAATGTGTTTTATCTATAGGAAGCAGTTGTGTATTATTCTAATACACAGCAGTAACCATGCTTACACATGGTTACTGATCGCATACTTATGCAATGTTGGGGTTTTAAGGCTTTTCAAAAACATTAGACTGCTTCAAAATACGAGGGGTATTTTTTAAGTAAGGTCCGTTTTGTTGTAGACACTAGTAGTTCGCCCGCATGCCGCAACGAGCACGTGCGTCGTGTACCGGCATGCCTCGGGAACAACTGTGCTCAGTTTCCGCTCTGTAGCTAACCTGTACGGTTCTGTTCTGTGCTTTAAAAATGTTTAAGACTATCAACTCACCCTCCGCATTTGAGGTTCGCTCAGTGATACGGTTTTTGTCAGCAAGGAACCTGCCTGCTGCAGAAATTCATCGACAGATTTGTGAAGTGTACGGTGATACTGTTATGAGTAAAAGCAAAGTGCGTAAGTGGGTACGACAATTCAAAGATGGCCGTGACAACGTCCATGATGAGGACCGCTCCGGTCGTCCTTCTTTGATTACAGACGATTTGGTGGCTTCAGTTGAAGCGAGGATTCGTGAGAACAGGCGCTTCACAATAACAGGTCTTTCAAACGAATTTCCTGACGTGTGCTTTACAACATTGTTTCTGAACACCTAAAGTTTAGGAAACTGCTCCAGTTGGGTCCCGAAACTCCTAACAGAGGACCACAAAAACCAAAGATTTGAGTGTGCGATCAAATCAAATCGTCTGTAATCAAAGAAGGGCGACCGGAGCAGTCCTCATCATGGACGTTGTCACGGCCATTTTTGAATTGTCGTACCCACTTACGCACTTTGCTTTCACTCATAACAGTATCACCGTACACTTCACAAATCTGTCGATGAATTTCTGCAGCAGGCAGGTTCCTTGCTGACAAAAACCGTATCACTGAGCGAACCTCACATGCGGAGGGTGAGTTGATAGTCTTAAACATTTTTAAAGCACAGAACAGAACCGTACAGGTTAGCTACAGAGCGGAAACTGAGCGCAGTTGTTCCCGAGGCATGCCGGTACACGACGCACGCGCTCGTTGCGGTACGCGCAAACTACTAGTGTCTACAACAAAATGGACCTTACTTTAAAAATACCCCTCGTAACATTTAGAAAGCACTGGGGCAAAGACTAACATGCGGATCTTTAAATCCAAGAGCGCAGTATTAAAAAGCCTTTTTATATTTTGGAGCCTGAGAGCCATCTTAAGTCACTGCCTATATGTGAAGTAGGTTGGTAGTATTCTTTTTTATCTACCCATCTGTTCTCAATGACGAGATCTTTAATGTTCTACAACATTAAATGTTTTCTACTTAACAAGATAGATCCAAGAGTAAAAACAGATGTCTACAGTTTTAACTTCTAGGTTTCACATGCTTTACACTTAAAAGAGACATCAATCTGAAGCACAAATATACAAGTCCTAGTACATTTTCCTCAATTTGTACTTCTCTATATTACAAATGCATTGTCCAACCTAAGACTACTATGATTTATACCGGAATCTATACTACAAACAAAATCTCTGAATTACACACGAAGGAGGTGAGCTATGATGATCTACTTACTATCCTTTGGAAAATGAAATGTGTACATACACTCTGGGAAATATTAGAAGAACCCAGACAAAGTTGACTCGCATCTAAACCAATATTGGTAATGTGATTCTGGCTTACCTCCTAGCTTTTGTTATTATTACAAACATGCCTTGGAAAGGTTGTACAACTTCCCATTCAAATCATCAAGTTTTATAACAATTCTTGATTTTTTTTTTTCATTTTATACACATGACACTTTTTTACAATATTGTTTGAATCCTGTATACTTAGGGGCACTGTCCAAATGATTTTGTGACACAAACATGCACTGTGACAGATCTACAGTAAATGAAATATAGAGAAGAAATTGTGATGTAGCTCAGATTTGCTATTAAGTCGTCAAAGCTTATACAGTCAAAATAATGCTTTCTCACATCATTCACAGTCTTGCTATACAGATAAGATGGATACAGTTTGGGTAGAAAACCTGTGGCCCCTGCCAGTCTACTTTATACACTGGGAACCCCCAAATAAATATTATTCCAGATATTAAGATTAAATGAACAATTCTTTTCTTCAATCGCATTCATAGAATTAAAATAAAGTGATGTAACAAGTAATTACAAATATACAGCCTCAGCATTAGAGCTGAAAAAAATTGCTATTTTGCAAATAAATCCGAAGGGGTAGCAAGAAGCATTGCTTTTGCCTACCAGGTTGCAATGTACACAGATGGTCATAGAACAAACAGCATATGAAAAAGAAAGCATGACAGGCCATGTTTACAATGCTGCAATGTCACAAGCACATCCATCTCACCACTGGGTTTTTTTTTCTACATTATTAACGAAGTAGATCTTTTAAGGCAGAAGAGAGACATTCTGTAGATCTCGGTGCTAATGGCTCATCACACTTACATGGTTTCAGTGGTAGACGATGAGGTACTTTTTTTCCTGAAACGAGGTCTAAGGCTCCTAGGCGGTGCCTGTTGGAAACAAAACACATTGTACTGATTGGGCTTTTCATTTCTTTAGCCAGCACTGAGGAATTAATGATTTTGTAGATAGTTATCAAGTGAAGTCTTCCAACTACAGAATACACCAAAAATCCAGGAAAACTTAATTAGAGCAAAAGCAAGATTTCATGTTTGACACTAATACTGTCTTCTGCTATGGTGTGACATATCCACTTACTGTATATACTCAAGTATAAGCCTAGTTTTACAACCCTTGTTTTAAGCTGAAAAAGCTTCCCTCAGCTCATCATCATCATCATCATCATCATCATTTAATAACTTATTAATTGTCCTCCATCCGAGAATGCTCCAGGCGATTTACAGCTAAATTACAAAAGATAAAATACATACAAAAATTAAAAATCAACAGAGATTGAATGCTCTAGTAAAAAGCCAAGTCTTAAGTGCGAGAGTAAAAGGCCCTACGTCACGTATGGCTCTCATGTAGGGCGGCAAGGAATTCCACAAGGCAGGGGCAGAAATAGAAAAGTCTAGTCCTTTCCAAGTGCACTTCTCTAGGACCCGGTATATGGAGTAAGTCACGTTGGGCTGGTCGTTGCGACCTCCGATGATGGGAGAAGGAGAGGCGGTCCCTAAGGTACGATGGACCCTGGCCGTAAAGAGTTTTAAAGGTCAGAACTAGCATCTTATACAGGCCACGGTACTCAGTTGGAAGCCAATGTAAATGATGCAGCACTGGTGTTATATGGCATTTCATGGGCGTTCTTGTGAGTAACCTGGCTGCCGCATTCTGAACAATACGAAGCTTTCGGGTCGTAGACATCGGAAGGCCCACATACAGCTTATACTCAAGTCAAAGTTATTTATTATTTTACTCTGTCATTATTACTATTACTAGCTGTCCCCTGCCACACTTTGCTGTGGCCCAGTTTGATGATCTGGAGAATGAAATAATTAGAAAGTGTTGGTTTCTAATACATCGCACCTACTCTAAAATCCTTACATTTCACCTGTCATGTCCAGTACTTTTAATTTATTCATTACATTTGGCCCGGCCCTAGTTTTAAATGTGTCATGATGTATTGTTTTGATGTTTTACTGTTATTGCTTTAATATTTATTGGTTTGCTTTATGAGTTTTATTGTTGTATTTGTTATGTTGTTGTTTTATTAAGGGCCTTGGCCTTTGTAAGCCGCACCGAGTCCTTCGGGAGATATTAGTGGGGTACAAATAAAGTTAATAATAATAATAATAATAAGTAATTTCTTTATGCTTGTGGGTAAACAGTATTTTTTGCTCTTTCTTTGTCAGTGTTGATGTCGAGATTGTCTGGTTTGCCTACTCTGGAACACGCAACATATCATTGTCCTTCTTTAGGGGTCCCTTTCAAATCTATGATACTATATCTACATCATGGCTGGATGGCTCTTTGTCAGGAGGGATTTGATGATGTTTTCTTGCCGTGGTGAAGGGAGTTGGACTGGGAGGCCTTAAGTATTTTCTGTTGGTCATGGGGGTCCTGTGTGGGAAGTTTGCCCCAATTCTGTCGTTGGTGGGGTTCAGAATTGATTGTGGATTAACTATAAATCCCAGTAACTGCAACTCCCAAATGTCAAGGTCTCAATCTGTGTTCATATTTGGGCATATCATCATCATCATCATTTAATAACTTATTAATCGCCCTCCATCCGAGAATGCTCCAGGCGATTTACAGCTAAATTACAAAAGACAAAATACATACATACATACAAAAATTAAAAATCAACAGAGATCGAATGCTCTAGTAAAAAGCCAGGTCTTAAGTGCGAGAGTAAAAGGCCCTAAGTCATGCATGGAATATTTGTGCCAAGTTTGGTCCAGATCCATCATTGTTTGAGTCCACAGTGCTCTCTGGATATAGGTGAACTACAACTCTGAAATTCAAGGTCAATGCCCACCAAACACTTCCAGTATTTTCTGCTGGTTGTGAGAGTTCTGTGTGCCAAGTTTGGTTCAATTCCATCATTGGTGGGGTTCAGAATGCTCTTTTGATTGTAGGTGTACTATAAATCCCAGCAACTACAACTCGCAAATGACAAAATCAATTTTTTTGAGTGATGGTTGCTCCTTGGGTTAGTAGGTGTCTTGTGGCCAAATTTGATGTCAATTCATCCAGTAGTTTTTGAGTTATGTTAATCCCACAAACGAACATTACATTTTTATTTATATAGATTATTATTGTTATATTACATTTATTATTTTACTCTATTTATTATTATTCTAATTTTACTTTATTATTATTATTACATTTATTATTTTATTTTATAATTGTTATAATTATATTTATTACTTTACTCTAAGATTGCTATTATTACATTTATTATTTCACTCTATTATTATTAATTCACTTATTATTTTACTGTTTTGATTATTATTGGAAGGATATGTAAGCACATTTACATTGAAGAAGGTTAAAATGATGGTTTTATCAGAGTTGGGTAGTCTTATCTTAAATTATATTTTTATGTAAATATTCAAAAACATTTAACCTATTGATGCCGCAATTAATGTCATTTTATTGGTATCTATTTTAATTTCGAAATTGACCAGCAGCTGCTGCATTTCTCACCCTTGGCTTATACTCGAGTCAATCCATTTTCCCAGTTTTTTGTGGTAAAATTACGTGGCTCAGCTTTTATTCGGGTTGGCTTATACTCAAATATATCCGGTATGTCAGGAAGACACAGATGCAAATATTGTGTTCCCATTGCAATACCAATATGGATGGTAGCAGTAGCACCCAGACATGGAAGTAGAAAAGTTAGAAAAGTTAAATTAATAATATAAAAGTACACAAGAGAAAGGGATGGGGAGTTGATTTAATATCATACTGAAGTGAATCGGGTGTTGTAGTAAATCCATGTTTCCCGACTCGCCCAATCACAAAAGCTAGAGATGCTTCAAATAAGATTGACTAATATCAACTGAGAATCCAGTACAATTAATGTCTCATCCTTACAGCCCATACAGTTCAACTACTTTTAAGCTCTTACTTACCTAGTTCACTTGCTTTTTTCATTGTTCTTCAGGAACATGTATACACAATATCTATCTTCATACATTTGATAAAGTAGCCATTTGCTTTTTAATACTCATATCACAAGTTGTTAGAATTGCTACTATATATACTTATGTAGAAGTCTAGAAACACTAAAAAAACCTAGGTCAATGTAAGTACTGCACCTTTCATTGTTACAAATTCAACATAAAGCAAGGGCGCAAGGTGGGTGAGGGCTCTTTCGCGCGAGGCCAGGATTGCCTCGCACCCTTGCTGGCCGGCGAGAGCGCGAGGCAGACTTTGCACGAGGCCAGGTCTAGTGCGAAGGAGCCCTCATCTGCCTTGTGCCCTTGCTGGCCGGCGAGAGCGTGAGGCAGGCGAGGGAGGCTTCGCGAGAGGCTTGACCTTGCACGAAGGAGCCCCCGCCTGCCTTGCACCCTTGGTGGCTGGCGACAGCGCGAGGTAGGCTTCGCACGAGGCCAGTTCTAGTGCGAAGGAGCCCTCACCTGCCTTTTACCCTTGCTGGCTGGCGAGAGCGTGAGGCAGGCAAGGGAGGCTTCGCAAGAGGCCTGACCTTGCACGAAGGAGCCCCCGCCTGCCTCGCACCCTTGGTGGTTGGCGACAGCGCGAGGGAGGCTTCGCACGAGGCCAGTTCTAGTGCAAAGGAGCCCTCACCTGCCTTGTGCCCTTGCTGGCCGGCGAGAGCATGAGGCAGGCGAGGGAGGCTTCGTGAGAGGCCTGACCTTACACGAAGGAGCCCCCGCCTGCCTCACACCCTTGGTGGCTGGCGAGAGCGCGAGGCAGGCTTCGTGCGAGGCCAGGCTTAGCACGAAGGAGCCCTCACATGCCTCGCACCCTTGCTGCCCAGCGAGAGCGCGAGGCTGGTGAGGGAGGCTTCATGTGAGGCCAGGCCTTGCTCGAAGGAGCCCTCGCCTGGCTCACGCCCTTGCTGGCTAGTGGAAGTGAGACAGGTGGGGGAGCCTTCCACTCGACCCCCATTCCAAGCTCGGCAGGGGGTGAGGGCCGAGCACAAAGGTTCCCTGGAGGGCCAGGCCAAATGGGGAGCCTTCCGCTCAACCCCGACCCTTCCAGCAACCATTTTGTGGAGGCGGAGGGGGCGGGGCCAACCAAGGTGCCTTCGCGACCCCCAGAAAATGGCCCAGTGACCCTCCTGGGGATTGAGACCCCCAGGTTGAGAACAGCTGGACTAGATGGTCCATGTGGCCTCTTCCAACTCTATTATTTTATGATTCTATGAAAAGATATACAGTTATATGTGTTAGCTGTGTATTTGTGTATATATACGAGGGGTATTTTTTAAGTAAGGTCTGTGTTGTTGTAGACACTAGTAGTTCGCGCGCATACCGCAATGAGTGCGTGTGTCGTGTACCGGCATGCCTTGGGAACAACTGCACTCAGTTTCCGCTCTGTAGCTAACCTGTACGGTTCTGTTCTGTGCTTTAAAAATGTTTAAGACTATCAACTCACCTTCCGCATGTGAGGTTCGCTCAGTGATACGGTTTTTGTCAGCAAGGAACCTGCCTGCTGCAGAAATTCATCGACAGATTTGTCAAGTGTACGGTGATACTGTTATGAGTGAAAGCAAAGTGCGTAAGTGGGTGCGACAATTCAAAGATGGCCGTGACAATGTCCATGATGAGGACCACTCCGGTCGCCCTTCTTTGATTACAGTCAATTTGGTTATCGGAACAGGCGGCAAGTTTTTATGAAGAGGGCATTTTAAAATTGGTTCAGAGGTATGATAAGTGTTTGAACAAACTTGGCAACTATGTCGAAAAATAGAGTGAAGTATGTACTTTCTGATAATAAATTTACTTTTTTGAAAAAAACTTTTGTTGTGTACTTATGTTCCAACAGACCTTACTTTAAAAATACCCCTCATAGATAGGCAGTCAGATGTGTTTATGTCAGTAACCCAAATGCCATTGTGTCTCCCATTCTACAGAAATAGATTGAGGCTCAATGAGGAAAAGTCCAGGTCTAGGTCCATGAAAAGAAAGGCTATATGGGCTCTTACCTCCAGTGCCACATATACACCTGTTCCTACGCTATTATTGTTATCTGGCCAGTAGGATCTTGGCTTAAGTTACTAAGTAGTAAAATATGTATGACTACCTATATTGGTTACCCAGCATAGAATATAAATGAGGAGTTGCAACAACCTCTATGTTTTTGTGGATGGACCCGATTTGAAATAGCTATATCTCTGCAACCATGAATCACCCATGAATGAGACTCTTATCACTTGAAACGGCACAGAGTTATAAATGATTGTTACTAGATGCCTCTCCCAGTACATGAACAGCTCCTAGCTTCAGCCATTTGTAAGATAGCAAACCATAACATAAAGCCTAATAAGATGTCTGCCATTTGTGAAGTTATTTTTTAGATTTGTTTCTGGCTCAAAATGGTTAGTAAAACTTGATAACCCATTAAACTACATGCAACTTCTTGTGTAATTGCAACATGTCATTGTGAAGTACACTGCTTTGAACCTGGGTCCATCATCTTGGAACACCCTTGTTGGGGTTCAGCCTGTGTGTGAACCTGAACCTGATTCTCTGATTGTATTTCCTGATGCCAATGAAGATGTTGATTCAGAGGGCAATGTAGAAGATGATGGTTTGTGTAGTGAAACTCCTGCAGCCTTGGAAAGTGAAATATTCCCATGAGAATATTTCAGAGCCAAGCAATGAACTTTCACTCCCTTTTCCTCCCAGTATTAGCTCTCCAGAGAATCTGACACCTGGTCTCTCTAATGAGGATAGGAAAGGGCAGATTTGGCAGAGCAGGGGAGAATCTCAAAGTTTACAAAGGTCAGCTAGACTGAGAGAAATGCAAACAAAGCCGGCAGGCGTGTCACATAATAGATTTCTCGGCCTTAAGAACCTCGCGCCAGGCATCGTTCCAGATTTAAGCATCATCCTTGGCAGGTATTCTGATTCCAGTGGCCTCATTCCTAAGAGGCTTCCTAGTTGCTTCAAGTACGGTTAGTAGATTGCTAACAGGTTCCAGGATTTAACAGTGTTACTGTGGGTTTTTGATCTTATTCATGGACATTTCTTGTAGCTGATTTTTACTGTGGCTTTTTACCTTGCATTTTTCCTCTATTTTTGTACTCATCTTTCTTCAATAAAAAAGGATTGTTTTTCCTGAAGTCAAGTGTGGTGGATTATTGTCTGAGGGTCCAGTTTCCTGCTCTGGGTTGCAACAACCCTGTATATTTTCTCAAAAAGAAGGTTTCTCCTAAATATAGTGACAGCCGATACCTGTTAAAGACTTCTATTACTATTGTTCTTAACGGACATTTCTTTCCCATCATTAAAGGGACATGTCTCAGTTTGGGAGGGGCGTTCCTATGATGACACAACAACAGTTTTACATGAAACAACCCATTAAGCTGGTGAGGGTCAGCTTTAGCAAATTTTCATTGCAAACGTGTTCAACCATGTTAGATGTCTACTAGTGTTTTTTAAGCCTGTTTCCCTTGCAGAAGTACCTCAATGACTGCATTCTTTGCCTGAGGTTTTTTAGCCTTGGCTGTACAATCCAACAAGTCCTTCTCATCATCATCTGAGAAGACAACATCAGTTGGTTCACTGTTTGCCTCAGGTGGGTTTTCAGTGTCTGCCTCACCCTCTAGTTCAACCACTTAGAACAGGCATTTAAGATCTAAATGGTGAAGAGAAATAAGAAATAGAAAGGTCAGAGAACTTGGCGTCACCCGCAAACTGACTCACACCTGCTATTGCCTGGCCCATGCGTTTCCCAAAAAGGTTAATACTATAAGTTGGGTTAAAAGGCACAATCCAGTAGCAATTACTTTGCCATTAATAATTTAGTTGCCAGTTTGGGAAGCAGTCTGACAATCTTTGATGCAAGGCTATTTTTTAGAAGTCTGCTTGCTTTTAATTGGTTCTCTTTGATTATATGAAGCAAGCCAGTCTAAAGAGGTGCTGAGCCCGTTTTTTGGTTTTTTTGTCGTGTTAAGAGCGACTTGAGAAACTGCAAGTCGCTTCTAGTGTGAGAGAATTGGCCGTCTGCAAGGACGTTGCCCAGGGGACACCCGGATGATTTGATGTTTTTATCATCCTTGTGGGAGGCTTCTCTCATGTCCCTGAGGAGCTGGAGCTGATAGAGGGAGCTCATCCGCCTCTCCCCGGATTCGAACCTGCGACCTGGTGGTCTTCAGTCCTGCCGGCACAGGGGTTTAACCCACTGCGCCACCAGGGGCTAATCTTAAAGATTGACACAGGTTTAACCCACTGTGCCACCGGGGGCACAAGGGGTTAAACCCTTGTGCCAGCAGGACTGAAGACCGACAAGTCGGAGGTTTAAATCCTTGGAGAGCGCAGATGAGCTCCCTCTGTCAGCTCCAGCTCCCAATGAGGGGACATGAGAGAAGCCTCCCACAAGGATGGTAGAACGGCCAATTCTCTCACACCAGAAGCGACTTTCAGTTTCTCAAGTTGCTTCTGACACACACACACACACACACATACACAAACCCTAAGTGATGTCTTCCTGATATTCCACCAGTTGCATGTTAAACTGGGTTAATCCAGCTTTGCCCCCATTTCAAAAAAGGTTGGGGTGCTCCAAAGTTTGCTTCAAATTCTAGAGCAGTGTTTCTCAACCTGGGGGTCGGGACCCCTGGGGGGGTCGTAAGGGGTTGTCAATGCAGGATAGCCAAAGACCAATAGAAAACACAGTATTTTCTGTTGGTCATGGGGGTTCTGTGTGGGAAGTTTGGCTCAATTCTATCATTGGTGGAGTTCAGAATGCTCTTTGATTATAGGTGAACTCCCAGCCACTACAACTCCCAAATATCAAGGTCTATCTTCCCCAAACCGCACCAGTGTCCACCTTTGGGCATATTGAGTATTCATGCCAAGCTTGGTCCAGATGCATCGGCATTCTCTGGATGTGGGTAAACTACAACTCCAAAACCTAAGGTCAATGCCCACCAAATACTTCTGGTATTTTCTGTTGGTCATGGGAGCTCTGTGTCCAAAGTTTGGTTCAATTCCATCATTGGTGGAGTTCAGAACGCGCTTTGATATTGTAAGTGAACTGTAAATCCCAGCAACTACAACTCCCAAATGACAAAATCAATCCTCCCCTCAACCTCACCAGTATTCAAATTTGGGCGTATTGAGTATTTGTGCCAAATGAATGAAAATTCATCCTGCATATTAGATATTTACAAGATGATTCATAACAGGAGCAAAATTATAGTTGTGAAGTAGCAATGAAAATAATGTTATGGTTGGGGGTCATCACAACATAAGGAACTGTATTAAGGGGTCACGGCATTAGGAAGGTTGAGAACCACTGTTCTAGAGTATACTATGCCTTCAGTGTAAACAGCTGGATTGGGTACGATTTAAACTGGCCACAATAATCTCTATCTTACATTATTCAGCATGGGAAAAAATACACATTGTGCTCTCCTTCTTCCCGGTCACTTGAGCACCTCTGCTATTGTTGTACGGGGTACCTGCAATGGTCAGGAGCTCTGTGGCTACTTATGGACAGTGACGGCAATAGGAAAGGGGAGGTCTCAACTAGGCTGGACCATGTAAGCTCCAATCTACCACTGCAGTGGGCCCAGGACAGTGTGTGTATGAGGGTGTGGGGGAGAGGGGGCTTCTACACAGGCCCTAAAATGCAGAAGAAACCAGAATAAAAGGAGAAGAGCTAGATGACTTTTGCTGAAAATACATGCTGGATTGCATTAACAGCTGAAAAACACGTGTTTAAAAAGTGCAATTAAAATCCGAACTCAGCCAAAAAAATGTGCAGTCAAGAAAAACATGTGATTTTGTTGTCATACATTAGTGTGCACTGCTCCAGTGCATGTGCACATTTTAAAATCCAGAAACGGCTGATGAGGGTTGTACACAAATGGAGCCACAGACACACAGGTGGCTAAATGGAAGCACAATTGGAAAGCAATTCTCATGAGAACTCTCTGTAAGCATTCCTTGTTTTTCATGTTTATGAAATTAAACAGAGCTTAAATTTACACAGTGGGCACTAAGACTGCAGGTCAGTGACCCCAAAAGGAAACGGGGTTAAAGAAGGAAAAAGTAAAGGCAGCAGGAGGGCGAGGAGAGATAATGACAACAAATCTGCTTGTGCATCAGAGCTTATGAGGTCCAGCACATCTCAGAGTATTAATAAAAAAACACTTCTGGCAAATGTCCTGTGTCCATCTTGCGGATTTCTAAAATCTGCTACAACTGAACATGTCAGGATGCTTGGGGACCATTTACTGGGACTGACAGCTCAGTGTCTGGACTCCTTAAGTTCCCGGAGTTTTTAAACCCACTTATTTGTCCTGGATTATGAGGCTGTTTGGGCCTTGGGTGCCTCTAGGGTCAGTCCAGAACATTTCTGCTACTGACTGCCTCCAGGTTTACCAGCCAGTGTAGATGTGGCGATTATTAAGGCACCTTTTGTGTTCTATACTGTCTTTTTTTTGAGGAAATGAAAAAGTATACCTCATTAGCAAGTTGGTAAATAGAAAGTCGGAAGCTGGAAGGTATTGCCTTTGTCTTTGGTGTCCTAAAGAAATGAAGGCAACTCTTTCTGGAAACAGTCAATGTCTCACACTTCTGTAAGAGTTCCCAATGGCCCAGTTTTACAAGTACTGATTAATTAAACTTCATCATTTCTATTTATTAAAATCCCAGCTATTTAAGGAAGATGAGAGTTCAGGCTGATTTAATTACAGAGATCCGATCTCTCAGACAGTTTCCTTTCTGCACGACTCATGCCCTTCTTCCACCAGTTTCCCCAGCATATCAGTATAGCTGAAAAATATAATGGCCAGAAAATTTAAAAAATCCATATACTAATTTGGCCTTCTTCATACTTCACAGTATTGCTGTTTTCTGCTTACTCTAGTAAAATGTATTCCATCTCACAGGGATTTGGGGATAGTTTTATTTTTGTCTTTAGTAGTGTGGGGCGTAACATTGCACATAACTGAATACGTAATGCCACACCACATACGCAGTTTTCTGTCGCCACTTTAATACCTGGGACGTACTCTGTTTCTGATCTGTTACAAGTGCCTTTCTTCTTGACTCAGTGAGGGGTAAAAGAATTTCCTTTCTAAATCCCTTTACCGCCTTGTACTGCTGCAGTTTCCCTTTTATATTGGCTGGGGCTTTCTTGTGAGCTGTTAAACCTTTGTACTTTATATCACATGCTTGAGACACTCCGGTAAGCAACAAAGTAACAAAGTTTATTTATAGCTTGTGGTTCCAATGCTTTATGGTTACATTTGTGTTTTGTTACAGTCTCGAGTCTTACATTCAGTATCATTCACTCAATTAACTTTTCTTATAAAACCCTCACTATCTCACATCAACAAATATGTTCTTTCTTCATATACCCTTAGCTGAACTATTTTTTGACTTAGGCCACACTGGCGCCTTCTCATTTTTCCCTAAACCTTGAGCTCTATTTTCCCGACTGCTTCTCTCTAACTGAGGTTTCTAACTCTCCCCACTTCTCTTTTTTCAACTGACAAACTCTAACTGCTTCTTTCAAACTTGACTCCGCCCCTTTAGAATGTTCAATTCTGTAACTGCCATTCTGGCTCAGCGGCCTTTTCAAATCCTGGCGTACTTTCATCTGCATACAACCAATCGGCTTCACATATGCAAATTAATCCTGCCTTCACTGTTGCTACCCTATTTGAGCCAATTCTTCCCTATCAGCCATATTGTAACCTAGAGCTACACACCAAAAATACAACATAGATCATAAAATTCACTACAAGTAGTAGTTCAGTAAATTGTAAATTTTGGGTTCTGTCCATGCTTGGAAGCTACACAACAAAAGGTTATATCTGACGGAAGACATCTGGGAGGAAAACAGGAAAGATGGGAATTTTGGAGATTTCTTCTTTGCTTGACAGAAAATCATAGGATCAAGATAAGATAAAAGTGAATGGAAATAGCAGGAAAGCAGGACACAGCCCTCACGGTGTGCACTGATTCGATATTCTAAAGTCCCATACAGAACTATGAAGAGAATTGACTACCTGAGATAAAGAACATTATTTTCTGAAACATCCATGCGTAAGAGGGAAAGGGAGGAATGTTCAATCTTTACTTACGAAGGGGTGATTTTATGTGTGTTTTAAAAACACCTTTTTAGTTTGCACTCCCTCAGGCCCCATCTACACTGCCATCTCATCTAATTTTTGATCCCAGATTATCTGATTTGAACTGGATTATATGGCAGTGTAGACTCAGATAATCCAATTCAAAGCAAATAATCTGGGATCAGTTGTGCTCATCTCCATTTCTAAGCCAAAGAGCCGGCGTTCTCTATAGACACCTCCAAGATCATGTGGCTGGCATGACTGCATGAGTGGTCAACAAGCGCAACAGCTCAGCGGTTTAACCCACTGCGCCACCGGGGGCTCCCAAAACTCCCAAATACAAGAGAGAGAAAATTGCAAGTTCAAGTACATGCTGAAAACTCCAGGCATCACTCAAGTAAACACAAATGTTGCCCAGTGTCTTGTCTGACCACCTTCCAGGTAGGACCAATCCTAAACTGCACGAATCTTCAGAGGAAGAAAAGAGCCTTACTGCTGGCCCAAGGTCCGGCAGATCGGCAGAAGAGTC